TTTCTGCACCACTTCCCACCTCCGTCTCCTGCTCCCCATGCCTGCCAGCGGTTCTAACACACTAATTGGATTCTTAATAGTGGTAATTAATGAGGAAACTTCATTATGAGCTTGCTTGACATCTAGCTTTGGGGTTTGTTATGGCGGCGAAGGAAGAATGGCGGGGAAGGCAAGCGAGGATTGCAATGAAATAACAGATGGCACATGAGTAGACAAAGGGATCCATGTCTCTTGCTCTGTTATCTCCAGCAAACAGAAGAGCCAGCTGGTTTCCATGCCTGGGATATTTCTGATTATTTTTTTTGGTGGGGGGGTTGTGTGTTTTCTCTTTGTTGCATCATAGATTCATTGAGAAAGAAAGTGCCTCATGGGACATGGAGTCCACTGCTCCTGCTCAGTGCAAGGTTTCCAAATAGACCATAGGCTTGGTGGTTTCCAGACTTTTGAACAGAGACAATGGCTTCCTGGCACACTTGTGGTTGTTGTGGTTGTTGTTGTGTGCCTTTGAGGTATTTCCGACTTATGGCGACCCTACCAAGGCAAGATTTGTTCAGAGCAGGTTTTCCCTTGCCTTCTTTGGAGGCTGAGAGAGTGTGACCTGTAGGTTTCATGGCTGAGTGGAGAATGAAACCCTGGCCTCCAGAATCATAGTCTGACACTCAAACCACTACACTAGTATCCCCAGATTAGGTATTTTATATTTGATTGATTTTATTGATTTCAAGGATTGATACCCTGCCTTGCTCCCACAATGGGAGCCAAGGTGGGTTACAAGAATTTACAAAGATCGAGCTAAAACATTGATTCCAAAATGAAACAATTGGTAAGTCCATTTACGGAAGCATTTATTTAGAAGGAAATTATAATCTCTCCTGAATGGATCCATTTCTAGGGCGTGATCCACTCCTTCCCCAGTTGTTGATTTCTTGAATGAAGAAAGAAAGCAAAGCAGACAGGTTTCTTGCTTCTTTCCCTACCTCCCTTTCCCCCCCCCCCAAGTTTGTTTTTCTTCCTCTTTCTCTCCCAATTCCTAAAATTTGAAAGGGCAAAAATCCCCTTCCGAGCGCGGATGAGTCTGGGCACCAATTAAAAAATGTGGCCTTGCTTTGCAAAAGCACTTTTGAGCTCTTATTATTGCTCAAATCCCAACCCGCAGATCAGTGTTCAAAGGCAACAAAGAGTCGGTTTTATATGCATTCTCATATATACACACACACACACAAACATGCATATATATATATATATATATATATATATATATATATAT